AGCTGGGGATATAGCTTTGTTGTAGAACACTTGTCTAGAATGTGTGAGGTCCTGAACTTGATTCCAAGCAACAAAATACACATGTACACAAAATTACAAAAAAAACTTAAATGAACACTGTAAAAAAATTTAAATACAGCTAAGCAAAAAAGAAGAAAATAGCATATTCTTACCACCTTTGGATTATCTTATTCTACATGTATGTACTGTATAATTTTTGTATGTGCAGAACTGGAAAGTACTTATGCATGGTGGGCAAGCACTCCAGCACTGAGCTACATTGCCAGCACCACACATATACTTTCTTTTTTTTCTTTTTTTGGTACCGGGGATCGAACTCGGATCCTTCCACTTGCAAGGCAGGCGGTGGAACCACTGAGCTAAATCCCCGGCCCCAACATATATACTTTCTATAGATCTTTTTTATCTACTTCAGAGCACATTGTACATATTGGTTTTTTTCCCTAGTATTGGAGATTGAACTCAGGGTCTCACAATGCTAGCTACACCCCTCCTACTCCTGTACATATGGTTTTATAAGATGCCTTTTGAGTTGAATCTTTGCCTTTTAAGGAAAAAAATCTCATCTAATAGCCAGTCTAGTTTCAAAACTTTCCAGTTGCCTCAAAAATGTCCATTATAGGCACTGGGGATTTAGCTCAGTGTTTCTGCCATTCGAAAGCACAAGGTTCTGAGTTCAATCCCCAGTACCAAAAAAAAAATGTCCATTATAGCTTGTCTGCCTAAACCAGGATCCAATCTAGGAACAAGTATTGATTCTGATTATATAGCTTAAGTCTTTTTCAATCTAAATTAGTCCCTTTTCTCAAGACACCAATTTATTGAAAAGATCAAGGCAGTTCATAAATTTTTCTTGTTGCTTCTTTATGGTATCTTTTGTTATTCTCATTGTTTTTGAGATAGGGTGTCACTATGCAGTTCAGACTAGCCTTAAAACTATGTAGCCCGGGGCCGGGGATTTAGCTCAGTGGTTTTGCTGCCTGTTACACAAGCACAAGGATCCAAGTTCGATCCCGGTACCAAAAAAAACAAAAACAAAAACAAAAACTATGTAGCCCAGGCTGGCCTTGACCCTCCTGCCTCAGCCTCCTGATTGCTGGGATTATAAGTGTGTGCCACCATGCTCAGCTATGGTATCCTTTAGATGGTCACCCTAATGTCTTATATTATTATAAACTGAATTTGGATTAAACATTTGACTTTTTTTTTTCATATAACATGTTCTGCATGATTAATGGATAAATAAGCTGTGGTACATCCAGATAATGGACTGCTATGCTAAGCTTAATAAAAAAGAGCAGACAAGCAATGAAAAGACATGAAAGAAACATAAATGCATATTACTAAGTGAAAGAAGCCAATCTGAAAAGACATTATACTGTATGGTTCCAATTATATGACACTCTGAAAAAGGCAGAAATATGGAGATTTTTTAAAAGGTCGATGGGGGCCGGGGATTTAGCTCAGTGGTTTGGCCACCTGCTGTGCAAGCGCAAGGACCCGAGTTCAATCCCTGGTACCAAAAAACAAAACAAAACAAAACAAAAAAACCTAAAAGGTCAGTGGTTGCCAGCGGTTAGGTTAGAGAAACAATTGAATAGGCAGAGAACCAATGACTTCTACAGCAGTGAAATTATGATACTAGAAGGGTAGATACATGTTAATGTAAATTTGTCCAAACGCATGGACTATACCACACCCTAATGTATACTATGGACTCTGAGCACTAATGAACACTCTGCTGGGTGATGTTGATAATGGGTGAACCTGGAAGAACCAGGGGATAATGGGAAATCTGTCTTCAACAGAATTTTGCTGTGAACCTAAAATTGTCCTAAAAAACAGAAGTCTATTAATGAAAAAATTCAGTAATTTAAAAGCTCTGTTATCCTTGACACAAAGTCTGAAGTGCTTAACATTCTCATAAGCCCATCCTGGTCTTTTAAATTTTATCTCTCACCATGTTCCTCCTAAACACAGTGACTTTTTTTTCTTTTTTGGTGGTGAGGGACTGCTCTTCCTCATGGCAGCTTTTCATCAGAATAACTCATCTCCTGGGTTATTGCTTAGATGTCACATCCTCTTGAGAGACTCCTCTTACGTTGGCTTCTCTCCTTCTGCTGGGTTAGACCCCTTTTGAGATGGACTCTGTACTGTACTGCTGGCTGAAGAGCACTTGTTTTCTGAATCCCGACTGGAGTGTAATCTCTGTAAACATGTGGACATGCTGCCCTTTCATCTTCTCGTCCCCCAGAGACACATGGTAAACAAGTTTATTGCATCAGTGTTGGAGGAGATGGGAAACAAGATGGTGTGACATTTCAGGCTTGGCATCTTTCTTCCTGGAATTGTTTCTGATTCATTACTAGGATACAGTTCTGGAGGCTGTGAGATCAAGGTGTCAGCAGTTAAATTTTCTGGAGAGTGCCACTCCCTACTTCCAGATGGGGCCTTATTATTGCATCCTCTAAAGGGGAGGAGCACTTTCTAAAGGTAAAAGGCAGAAGGGCCTCGATTTTTTTTTTTAAGACAGGGTCTCACTTTGTAGTCCAAGCTGGCCTCAAACTTGTCGTGATCCTCCTGCCTCAGCCCCCTGAGTTCTGGGATTACAGAGTGCACCAAGATGCCTGACGAGACTTGATAATTTTAAGGTGTAGACCTTTGTCTAGAATACATCAGAGATGAACAGTATATTTCATTTTATATCAAATCAAGATTCATATAATACCTGAATGTCTTCCCATCACTAATGTGATATTGTCCCCTAGATCATGGTAATAATGGCCAGATCTTTTAGTCCCCATTTTTTTTTGGCCAAGCACTCTACCACTGAGCAACATCCCCAGCACCCCAAATCCAGTATGAGTAGTTTTAAAGTACATTTAATTGAAGAAATAGCAAAATGAGCACTTGTACTTGGGTGCCCACAACTTAGATTGAACTATTAATATTTTCCCAATTTTGCTTTATCTATACTTGTATAAAAATCTTTATTTTGGGGGAGGCAGCTGGAGATATAGCTCAGTAGTATAGCACTTGCCCAGCATATGTGAGGCCCTGGATTCCATCCTTAGTACCTGAAAAGAAAAAAAATTTCGTTTTAGAATGTTTTAAAACCTAAGGGCCAGGGATGTAGCTTGTCTGGCAAGTGCAAGCGTAAGGTCCTGAGCTTATTTCCCAGTACCGGAATTTTTTTAAAAAAGTAATACCTAAAAAATAACATTCTCCTTATGGCTATATTTTTACCCTAAAAATTAGCAATTATTCTCTAATATCATCTAATATTTAGTCTATATCTAAATCTCCTTAATTGACTTCCAAAAGTCTTTTATAGGTTTTGTTTTGTTTTCCTAGTTCTGGGTAGTACTGCACTCTACCTTCAGCTCATACATATTTTTAAAAATCATAACCCTATCAAGATTCATGGCACTGGGGGCGGGGATTTAGCTCAGTGGTTCTGCTGCCTGCCTCAAAAGCACAAGGACCCAAGTTCGATCTCTGGTACCAAAAAAAAAAAGATTCATGGCATTTAGTTAAGATGTCTGTTTAGTATCTTTTAATTAGAACAGTCCATCCTCATCAGTACGTTCTGTGTATGACAATAACGGGGTTTTTTGGCAGCACTAAAGATGGAGCACAGGGCCACATACATGCTAAACAAGTGCTCTACCACTGAGATCCTTTTCAAAATTTCATTTCCAGACAGGGTCTCGCTAATGTTCCCAGCCTAAAGTGCAATCCTCCTGTCTCAGCCTTAGAATAGTTAGGATTACACTATGGTGTGCCACTATGACGAGTTTAATTTTTAATAAAAATAGTTTTAATATAAAGCTTGTAAGCTTTTAAGTATATTAAAGTTACTTTAAGAACTGAGAATTTAATTTTTCAAACTAATATCATAAAAAATAATTAGGAAATACTAATTTAAGGACTATTTGGGAAGGTGATCAATTATTCTATTCTGCCCAGGACAGAGGAGGTACAAGGATGCAGGGCATTTGGGATACTACCAGGAAAGTCCCAGGTAAAAAAAGTATGAGTTTGTTATCCTATTGGGATGACACTCTTTTTCTTTGGTACTGCAGACTGAACTCAGGACCCTGCACTTTTGAGGCAGGCATGGTGCCACTGAGCTAAACCCCTGCTTTTTTTTTTTTTTTTTTGGTACCAGGGATCGAACTCAGGACCTTGCGCTTGCAAGCTGGCCTTTTTTTTTTTTAAGACAGGCTTTCACTATGTATTTTAGGTTGGTCTTGAACTCACTATGTAGTCCAGGCTGGCCTTGAACTCACGGTGATCCTCCTGCCTCAGCCTCCCTAGTGCCGGGATTACAGGTGTGCACCACAATCCCTGGCTTATGCCCAGCTCTGGTTGGTCACTCTTTTTTTTTTTTTTGGTACCAGGGATCAAAATTGAGGCCTCGCACTTGCGAGGCAGGCAGCAGAACCACTGAGCTAAATCCCAGCCCCTGGTTGGTCACTCCTAAGGATACTTATTGATGTTGAGAAAATAGTTATGTGGGTGATTAAAATCATTCTCTGGTTCTAAACATTTCCATTTCATCACATAATTACTTATATAATTAAACCTTTATATAATTAAACCTTTTAACTAGACTGTCTGAATTGATGCATTAATTATGCATGTAGATATGGGATATATACTTGGTCAAGTTTATAACATTTTCATGTCTTCTTAAATTAAAAAATAATGATCTAGCACCATCTTACATCTATCTTCTTTTAATGTTACATCATTGCTTTTTTCTTTTTGGTATTGAGGATTACACCTAGGAACTTCACACTAAGCTATAAGCCCAGCTCATTTTTAATTTTTTTTTTTTTGGTACCAGGGATCAAACTCAGGTCCTTCCACTTGTGAGGCAGGCGGTGGAACCACTGAGCTAAATCCCCGGCTCATTTTTAATTTTTTATTGTGAGATAAGGACTTGCTAAGACACTAAATTGCCCAGGGTGGGGTTGAACTTTTGATCCTCTTGTCTCAGCCTCCCAGGATCCCAGGATTTTAGGCATGCACCACTACTCTCCAAAATATTACATCATTGTTAAGTTTGTACACTAAGTCCATATTTTACCCTAGATAATGTTATCTGTTATATAGAATGGTTATTCCTTTAACATTTATTTTTAAGAAATAATTTATTTCACATATAGTTACTTAAACCCTTAATCAAATCCAGGTCATCATGCATTGCAGTAAGATAACTCATGACCTATTCTTTGGCAGAGGCTAGAACTCTTTGCCAATTTGATGATGATAAAGTTTAGGTTTGTTGGGATTATTTTTCAGCAGCCAATCAGCTAGCCAAATCTATGGAAAAAAGAAAAAATCTTAAGTTAATAAACATTTAAATATTTCCTTTCAATATATATCTTATCAATTAGAAACTTAAACAGTTTTCAAAATCACTTTAAGAAAATGATTGGTGCTTCACACCTGTAATCCCAGCACTCTGGGAGGCTGAGGCAAGAGGATCACAAATTTAAGTCCAGCTGGGCAAATTTAGTGACTTAGTAAGACCTTGTCTCAAAATAAAAAAGGGCTAGGGATACGGCTCAGTGCAAAAGCCCTGGGTTTAATCTCCAGTACCACAAATACACACAAGCATGTACACACACACACACACACACATAATAAGAAAATGACCATTAAAATTGAACTACTACAATTTATATTATGCAAAATTGTTAAGTATACATCAAAATTGGAGAGGAAGAAGTAAAACTATCTCTGGCCACAAATAGATGGTATGATCCTATAAATAAAAAACACAAAGCCAGGCATTGTGGCACATGTTTGTAATCCCAGCACTTGGGAGGCTGAGGCAGGAGCATCACAGATCTGAGCCTAACCTCAGCAATTCAGCAACTTAGTAAGGCTCTGTTTCAAAATAAAAAAATTTAAAGGGGCCAGTATGTATCTCAATGTGATGACCCTAGGTTCAATCTCTAGTACAATCAATTAATTTTTTTTTTTGGTACTGGGGATCTAACTCGGGACCTTGCACTTATGAGGCAAGCAGCAGAACCACTGAGCTAAATCCCTAACCCCTCAATTTTTAAAACCCCAAACAATTGACCAGAAAGCTAATAGGTCTGGGGATATAGCACAGCGGTAAGAGCACATGCTTATGTGCTAGGTCCAGGATTTGAATTCCAATACCGTGGGAAGAAAAGAGTCAATGAAGCTACAATAAATCAAAATTGTAGGTTACAGGGCCGGGGATTTAGCTTAGTGGTTCCGTCACCTGACTTGCAAGCTCAAGGTCCCAAGTTCCATCCAAGATTAACACTTAAATTAGGCTTGGTGACACAGTCCTGTAATCACAGCACTGTGAAGGCTGAGACAGAAGGATTGCAAATTCAGGCCCAGCCTGGGTAACTCAGTGACTTAGTGAAACTCTGTCTCAAAATAAAAAAGGGCTCCAATTCAAAAATCTGAAATGAATAGATACTTGTCAGATAAAGAAGTAGAAAGAGTCAATAAATATGAAAAAAGGTTCAGCAACACTGGTCATTCAAGAGATGCAAATTAAAACAATGCTGACATTCCATTTCACTCCAGAAAGAATGGCTGTTATCGAGAAAAGGAACCTTTCTCCACTGTTGGTGGGAGTGTAGACTAGTGCAATCACTGTGGAAATCAGTATGGAAATCCCTCAAAAACTAAAATGAGAGCTTCCATTTGACCCAGCTATTCCCCTTCTTGGTATCTTCCTGAAAGAATTAAAAGCATCATACCACAGTGATGTTTATAGGAGCACAATTTGTAATAGCTAAATCTTGGAAGCAGCCCAAATACCCATCAACTGGTGAATGGATAAAGAAAATATAGGGCTAAAAAAAAAAAAAGAAAAGAAAGGGCTGGGGATTTAGCTCAGTGGTTCCGCTGCCTGCCTCGCGAGGGCAAGGACCCGCGTTTGATCCCCGGTACCAAAAAAAAAAAAAAAATGTTTTTTTTTTAAAATACAATGGAGTACTGCTCTGCCATAAAGAAGGATGAGCTTAAGACATTTATAGCCAAATGAGTGGATCTTGAGACCATACTCTTAAGTGAAATAAATTAAACACATATGTTTAAATACCATATTGTTTCTCTGGTGTGAGAAACAAATCGGAAATAAGGACTAAAATGTACAGCAGACAATGGGAAATGGGAAGAAAATGTTGAAATGAAAAGGGGAACAAGGGAGGGGTGAGAGGGAAAGAAAAGGAAAGACAAGAAAAAAAAGGAAAAAAATGGAAACAAATTTTTGTACATAAACAGGGGGGAAAAAAGAAGAAGGAAGATATATCATTTACTGGAACAAATTCCCTATGATGAATGTGATCATTATGCATATCTAAAATGTACTAATAAATGTTTTGCTTCAACAAAAAAAGATTAAATTAGCTCAGTGGTTCCGCTGTCTGCCTCGAAAACCCAAGGTCCTGAGTTTGATCCCCGGTACCAAAAGAAAAAGATTAAATGGTGAAAAAATTAAAAAGGGCTGGGGATGTAGCTCAGTGTGAAACCCCTAGGTTCAATCTCCAGTACTGCAAAAAAATTAAATAACTTTTAAAAGTAAAAATAAAAAGGACTGGGGATGTAGCTCAGTGGTAGAATGCTTTTCTAGCATGCACAAGGCCCTGGATTTAATCCCCAGAGCTGAGGGAAAAAAAGATTAACATACAAAAACCAGTTGTGTTTCTATATCAGTAATGATAACTTAAAAAGGAAATTAAGAAATTACTTCCACTTTTAATAACATAAAAAATAGGTAAGTAGGAGGGCTGGGATTTTGCTCAGGAGCACCATGCTTGCCTCACAAGTGCAAGGTCCTGAGTTCAATCCCTGGTACCTCCCCCCCCCCCCAAAATTAGGTAAGTAGGAATAAATTTAACCAAGGAGGTAAAAAATCTTTACATTGAAAATTCTAAAGCATAGCTGAAAGAAATTTTAAGACTTAAAAAAATGGACAGGTATTCTATGTTCATGGATATGAAAACTTAATACTATATGTTAAACCAGGCATGCCTGTAATCCCAGCACTTGGGAGGTTGAGGCAGGAGAATTGCCATGAGTTTGAGGCCAGCCTGGGCTACCTAGTATATTCAAGGCCAGGATGAGCTACATAGCAAGACCTTGTCTCAAAACAAAAACAAACAAACAAAAACATGTCAATTTTAGCCAAAGCAATGCAGAGATTTAATCCAGTCCCTAGCAAATTTCCAACAGCCTTTATTCCCCCCCCCCCCCCGCGCCCCGTGCAAAAGCCAATCCTGAAATCCTATGGAATTGGGAGGGGCTCTGAATAGTCAAAACAATCACAGCAAAGAACAAAATTGGCACACAATTGTAGTCCCAGATTCTTGGGTGGCTGCAGCAGGATTTTGAGACCAGCCTAGACAACAGCATGAGAATCAATCTCCTAAAAAAATAAAAAAACCAAAACTCGATTTTTTGGGGTTTTTGACATGGGGGTCTTGCTATGCAGTTCAGGCTGGCCTTGAACTCACTACATACCCCAGGCTGGCCTCAAACTTGTGGCAATCCTTCTGCCTCAGCCTCTAGAGTCCTGGGATTACAGACATGTGCTACCACACCTGCTGCAAAATTGGGGATCTTGTACTTCCCAATTTCAAATCCTACAAAGCTACAGTAATTGACAGTTTGGTACTGGTATAAGAATAAATATTAGACATGTGGGATAGAACAGAGAGTTAACCATTTTTTTTTAAGTTTAAGATGACATAGAAATTTAGTTATAAATTTTCTTAGCACATATGAATATCAATATGCATAATTAATTCACAGCTCAGTATAAAGAGGTATAATTATATAAATAATTATTTGGTATAATGAGAATGATTAGAACCAAGGAATGATATTGTTTTTATTTTGCAGTGCTAGAGACTGAACCCAGGGCCTTGTATGTGCTAGGTATAAGGATGATTTTAACTAATTACTTTATATAACAATTTTCAGAAATAAAACCATACATTTAAGGCAAATTTATTTATTTAATTATTTTTTTCCCTGGGGACTGAATCTAGGGCCTTGCACATGGTAGGTAGTTACTCCCAGTGAGCCACATCTCCAGCATTTTAAAATTTATTTTGAGACAGGGTCTCCCACTAAATTTTCTAGGCTGGTCTCTACTTGCTATCTTTGCCCCTCAGCCTCCTGAGTGGCTGGGATTATAGGCATGTGCCACCATGTCTGGTTTGGCTAATTTTTTTTTTTTTTTGAAACAGCGTCTCTCTATGCAGTTCAGGCTGGCCTTGAACTCACTATGTAGTTCAGGCTAGCCTCAAACTTGTGACAATCCTCCTGCCTCAGCCTCCCAAGTGCTAGGATTACAAGAATGCACCACCATGCCGGGCTGGCTTGCTTATTTATTTATTGGTACCAGGGATCGAACTCGGGACCTTGCCCTTGTGAGGCAGGCGGTAGAACCACTGAGCTAAATCCCCCGCCCAGGCCAATTTATTTTTGACAACGTACCAAGTACATTCATGGAGAAAGAATAGTACTGGGGCAATTGGATTTCCATACGAAAAAGAATAAAGTTGCGCTTTTATCTTGCACCATATACAAGGTTAACTCAAAATGAGCCAATGACCTAAAAGTAAGAGGTAAAATTATTAAAATCTTAAAACATAGGAGTAAATCTTAATAATCTTGGATTTGGCAATAGAATCTTAGATTTAATATCAAAAGCACAAGACAAAAGAAAAAAATTGATAAACTGGTTTTTATAAAAAAATTTTAAAACTTGTATATCAAAGAGTATTATAAAGAAAGTGAAAAGTGGCAAACATGGGGGCACATGCCTGTAATCTCAGCACTCAGGAGACTGAGGCAGCAGGATAACCACAAATGTGAGGCCAGCTTGGGCTACATGAGTTCAAAGCCAGCATAGCAAGACACTGTCTCAGAAAAAAAAAAAAGAAAAAGAGCTGGGGATTTAGCTCAGTGGTTCTACCACCTGCCTCACAAGCACAAGGACCTGAGTTCAATCCCTGGTACCACAAAAATAAACAAATAAATAAACAAAAGTTTTGCCAGGGATTTAGCTCAGTGGTTCTGCCACCTGTCTTCCAAGCACGAGGTCCCAAGTTCAATCCCTAGTACCAAAAAAAAAAAAAAGAAAGAAAACCTACAGAATGGGAGCCAATGACATATCTGATAAGTGTTTAATATCTACAAATATAAAGAATTGTAACTCAACAAAAAGACAATTGAAAAATAGGCAAAGGACTTGAATGGACATTTCTTCAAAGAAGATAAACAAATGGACAATAACTCATGAAAAGATGCTCAACACCATTAGTCATTAGAGAAATGCAAATCCAAACACACAAAACAGAAAAGAACAAGTATTGTCCAGGATTTAGAGAAATTGAAACTCTTCTACACTGGCTAGTGAGAATGTAAAATGGTGCAGCTGCAGTTTGGAAAAGAGTTTGGCGGTTCTTCAAAAAATGAAATAGAATTACAATATGACAGAGCAATTATTCATATTCTCTCTCTACCTCTACTTTCATCTCCACCTCTCTCTCTCTCTCTCTCTCTCTCTCTCTCTCTCTCTCTCTCTCTCTCTCTCTCTCTCTCTCTCTCTCTCTCTCTCTCTCTCTCTCTCTTTCTCCAGTACTAGGGATTAAACCCAAGGCCTTTACACTAAGCTACATCCTCAGTGCCACCTCTCACCCCTAAGACAGGGTCTCACTCAGTTACTCAAGTTGGCCAAGCTGGGCTCTAATTTTCTATCTATACATATCCATTCTCATTTTACTTAGTGACTTCCCTTTAAATTGGAGGGTTTTGTTTTTTTTCTTTTTGGGGGGTACCAGGGATCGAACTCAGGTCTTTGCGCTTGCCAGGCAGGCGCCAGGACCACTGAGTTAAATCCCTGGCCCCAAAATTTACAAATTTTTGGTTTTTTTGGTACTGGGGATCAAACTCGGGTCCTTGCGCTTGTGAGGCAGGCGTCAGAAGCACTGAGCTAAATCCCTGGCCCTGGGCTCCAATTTTCTTTTCTTTTTTTTGGTAGAGGGGATTGAACTCAGGACCTTGTGCTTGTGAGGCAGGTGCTGGAACCACTGAGCTAAATCCCCAACCTGGGCTCCAATTTTCAATCCTCCTTTCTCAGACTGGAAGTGTGCTGGGGTTATAAGTGTATGCTGCAACACATAGCCAGCAATTGCACTATTAGGTATATACTCAAAGGAACTGAACATTAGAACTAGCTGGGTGTGGGATCAAACTCAGGACATTCCACTTGGGAGGCAAGCAGCAGCACCACTGAGTTAAATCCCCAGCCCTGCACACACCTTTAATCCCAGCATTTAGGAGGCTGAGGCAGGAAGATTACACTGAGTTTGAGGCCAGCTTGGGCTACATAATGAGTTCAAGGATAACTTGAACTGTAATTTTATGGACAATAATTAGTAGATAGAAACAACCCACATGCCATCAACAGGTGAATGGATACACAAAATGTGATATATACATGGAATGGAATATAATTATTTAGCTATAAAATATGAAAATCTGATATATGCTTAAAATGGATGAAACTTGATTTTTTGTTTTGCTTCAGTTTTGGTTTTGGTTTTGATTTTGGTTTTGGTTTTTTGAGACAGGGTCTCACTCTGTAGTGGAGGCTGGCCTTGAGCTCACTGTGTAGCTCAGGCTGGCCTTGAACTCACAGTGATCTTCCTGCCTCAGCCTCCTGAGTGCTGGGATAACAGGTGTGCACCACCACACCACCCAGCATGGATGAAACTTGAAAACATTATGCTAAGTGAAATAACCAAGACATAAAAGAATAAAACACTTTATAAATCTACTTATGTGAAGTATCTAGAAAAGGCCAATTCATAGAGATAGAAATTAAGAGTTGAGAGAAAGAAGGAATAGAGAGTAATTGCTTAATGGTTCAGAGATTTCTATCTGGGGCAATGAAAAGAATTTGGAAATATGCAGTGGTAATGGTTGTACAACATTGTGAATATAATTGATGTCACTGAATTGTTTACTTAAAAATGGTTAAAATGGCAAATTTAAACAAACTGTGGTGGTGGAAGCCTGTAATCCTAGCATTCCAGGAGGCTGAGGCAGGAAGATTAAAAGTTTAAACCCAACCTGGGTAACTTAGCAATGTAGTGAGATCCTGTCTCAAAATAAAAAATGAAAAGGAATTGGGGGATATAACTCAGTGTAAAAAGCTCTGGGTTCAATCCCTAGTACTACAAAGTAAGTAAACAAACAAACAAATAAATAAAATGGGCTGAGAGGGCCGGGGATTTAGCTCAGTGGTTTCACCACCTGCTGTACAAGCATACAGACCCGAGTTTGATCCCCGGTACCAAAAAAAAAAGGGCTGGGAATGTAGCTTTTTTTTTTTTTGGTACCAGGGATAAAACTCGGATTCTTGTGCTTGTAAGACAGGCGGCATAACCACTAAGCTAAATCCCCAGCCGGGAATGTAGCTTAATGCAAATGACATAGGTTCAATACCCAGTACTGTTAAAGAGTAAAAGCAGGAATATAAGATATATGCAACTATTAAAATATTCTCTACAAAATATATATTCAAATATAGCAATATTGATGAAACATACCTATATACAGTATAGTCATACTAATTTTGAGCACTTATTATGCAAGAGACACTATGATAAGAAATTTTTTTTTTTGAGTCAGGGTCTCTCCCTTTGTAGTTCAGGCTGGCCCTGAACTCACTATGTAGCCTAGGCTGGCCTCGAACTCAGTTATCCTCCTGCCTCAGCCTCCCAAGTGCTGGGATTACAGGCATGTGCCACTATACCCAGCAAGAAATTTTTTAATAAGGAATTTTTGTTAAAATGGGGTCTTGCTATGTTGGCCAGGCTGACCTTAAATTCACTATGTACTCCAGGCTGGCCTCGAACTCTCAATCCTCCTGCCTCAGCCTCCAGAATGCTTAATTACAGGGCCAGGGATTTAACTCTGTGGCACCATGCCTGCCGCAAGCACAAGGTCCTGAGTTCCATCCCCACTACCAAAAAACAAAACAAAACAGAATGCTATAATTACAGGCATGCACCACCACTCTGAGCTAAATAGTTCTACAGTTGTTTATTATTATTATTATTATTATTATTATTATTATTATTATTATTACCATCATCACTACTACTACTACTACTACTACTACCACCACCACCATTACTATTTTTCAGTACTGGAGATTTAACACAGGGTCTTCACACTGAGCTACATACCCAGATCTTTTTTGTTTTTTATTTTGAGCCAGGGTCTGACTAAGTCACTAAGTTGCTCTGGCTAGGCCCAGATTGGCAGTCTTCTTCCCTCAGCCCTGCTAGAATTTCAAGTATGCCCCACTATGCCCATCTAGCTGTTGTTTTTTATTTTGAGACGGGGTCTTATTATGTAGTTCAGGCTGACCTTGAACTCATGGTGATCCTCCTGCTTTAGTCTCCCCTGTGCTGCTGGGATTACAGGTGTGCACTACCACACCTGGCTTGTTCTATTTTTAAAAATTAGATATTATGATAAACATAAGTAA